TGACATGTTGCTACAAGCAGGTAGTGATTTAATGAAAAGCAAAAAGACTGAAAAGGGGTTTGCCAGATCCCTGTGTGATGTGAATGTTAACAAGCACAGTCACGTCATCAGCATCCCTGCTCTTCACCCCTCCCTCCCATCCTTCCTCTCTCTTTTATGAGCCAGCTTGAAATCAGGGAATTACATGCTAAGGAAAACCCTTCAGATAAACATATAATTATTCTGAACAGGATCAATGCAGCACAGTTAATCAGTTTACCAACTGAATTAATTTTTATTTTTTTCATGTCTGCATCTCCTGTGGAGAATGGAGAAATTCAAGATTTAAGGGGAAAAATTGGTTGCATTTGTGAAATGGTATTTATATCTGAGCATTCATTATGAAAGGAACCTCTACTGCAGGCTGTTTTGGCAGACAAACATTACTTTCAATCAGCAGGACTTTGAATAGCTGACTCCATGTGAAGTTATTGCTAAAGGTACACTTAAGAAATAGCTGATTTCCTATTTTAATTTCCAGCTGTTTAATAACATCCCATTCTCCTCAGAGCCCCAACTATTTGTGTTTTTGTTTTATGAAAACAGTGAATTGTTGTGTAGAACCTTAAATTTATTTGCACAATATGCCAATTAGATACAAAAACGTTTTAAAGAAACTAATGCAAACTACTTAATTCAGGAAGCACAGGAAGCCTCAGAGCTGTTATTTTAAAATCTAGGTAGTAACCCTTTTGTATTTTATTTAAAAAATTTAAAATTAAGCAGCCTGAATTTTATAGTTGTAAGTGCAATAGAGATTCAGAAGTACAACTTGCAGACACCAAAACTGTTTTCTGTATAGGGCTAGTGTCAGTCTTTCATTGTGCTATTTACATACATATGAAAATGGGTGACTTTTCAGTTTAGAAGTGCACTTTTGATAAAACGTGGATTTAACTGCAAAGCTTCATTGGATTGTACAGTAAATAGAGGTGCTGATTGTTAATAGGTTAAAATGCATTAGAAGCCTCCAGGTAGTAGCATTACAGGAGTAAACATTAAGGTACACTTTGCCACCGAGTACTCATTTTAATATGCTCAGTTTTCACATAGCTAAACAGAAGAAAAATACATGAGAACAATTATGAAACCATGTTGTTTAACATATTTTACATTCTACAATGCTTGTGGAAAATATTTTCCCTAACCTTGTGACCAAGGAATTTAAATAAAATGAGGTAAAGATCACCCTCTTATATTAATGTTTTCAGTCCACGGAGATATATTATTCCAATGAAAGTATTTGCTTGTGGTAAGAAAAGGATACACATCAGGATAAATAAAGCATCAATGATTTGTGTGAGAAAAAAGAAAGTGAAATACATTTGAAATACGGAAATAACTGAATCAAGAGTAATAGAAAAAACTCACTACAAATACCAAAAAATATTTTTTCAAAATCACACATACCAATCCTTCTTTGAAAATACCTCTTTTTTTAAAAACCACTACTTCTACAATCTATTTGTTAATCCTCTCAGAACATGTGTGTGTATCCTAAAGGCAAATTCAATAATACAAAGCTATCCAGAGTCCTCATTGCCAGATCCAGAACAAGCTTCAAAAATCAGTTTCTCAAGTCTTTCACAGCCTTCCCTGGGCGTCCACAATGTGAAATCCAGACAGTCTATTATTGACAGTCTGTTCCTAAGGAAGAATGCCACCTTACTATAATGCTGTTCCTGAGAGGCCATTAATTTATACATTGTGGCAAATAATGCCTCTTAAAGGGAAGGAACAGAAGGATTGTCCTTGGGTTGCAATTCAGGGCATGGCTACCTCTTACAACAGTATGACATAGAGTGAGATGCACTGTGGGTATTCAAGTGTCTTAAAATATTAACATCAGTTTTGTGGCTTTCTTCCATGACCTCTTACATTACTCTGATTTTGCTGATACTCAGCACAAATTAGTTTGCAAAATTTATTAGCTGATTTAAAAAAAAACTTTCAGTAGCTGCAATAAAAGTTATAAAAGACACAAGTTAAAAAATGCCTCTTACTGTGGTCACCTTACTGTGAAATGTGTTGTGACTAACAACCTTTAATATTTAACATTGTTGTATTCAATGTTGTTGTAGCCATGCTGGTCCCAGGATATTAGCACGATAAGGTGGGTGAGGTAATATCTTCTATTGGACCAACTTCTGTTAGTGAGAGAGATAAGCTTTTGAGGTTACACAGACTCCAGACCTGAAGAAGAGCTCTGTGTAAGCTCAAAAGCTTGAATTTCTCACCCACCTTATCTCTTTAATATTTAAATTAATTAAGAATGTATTTTAAAGGGCAAATGGGGTACATTTTTACAGAGTCTGATTACTGAACACTATGTTAAAATGCTACAGTTGTAATGTGTTGCTTTCTGTAGTCGAGGTTAAATTCTACCTTCAGAACATAGTGATTTTACTGCAAATGTCACAGAGAGGTGGTGTTATAATAGGAGTAGTTATGATGTGGTTTCATGGAACTGGGAGCCAGGCTATATCAGTTTGGGGTACTAGTAATAGTTAAATTCCACATCTAGGTCCTTGTTACAAATTCTAACTTCTGATCCTTTTTAAATAAATACATTTAAGCAAGAGGTGCAGAATATGTCACAATATAAGTAGCTAAGTTGTCGTGTCAGGCTTTGTCATGTGAGCATTTTCGGAGGTAAATCCTTCAGTGTGGGTGATTCATATAGATAAGTTACATATCACTTGAACGCCACTAGCAGTCTGCAGCTTCATCCTGACTAATGTATTAAAATCTATTTAGCAGAATAACTATACCTAGTGAAACTGCTACACAGCACACAAAAGAAGCTACAATGCAACAGTGACAATGATGAACTCAATTGTAGTAAAGTTAGGGATTTCCAGCTGATTTTGAACTAATTGTTACCATATTACATTGTCAGCTATGATATTGTATTTGTTAGAACCCTTTTCTTTGACTACATGAGGCGTTCAATAATATCTGAAGCACATATTTGCACAGGGCAAATATTAAGGTAAAATATGGTAGTGTAATATTTGTTTGGTAATGATACACACGTAGCTTGCATTATCTTCATGCCCACAGCACTCATATTACTAAAGAAAATCCCTCAATTCTATACACATTTCAGTCATCGGTGCACTATACTTATTTATATTTGAATTCACAAAACCAGGCAAATGTTACATGAGGATACCCCAGTGTTTCTTGTGTGATATGTGACATGCAGTCTATATATAAAAATACTGGCAGACATAGCAGGTTTTAAAATATATAAAATGTCCCCCATCAAACAGGCAATTTAATATTGGGAGACTACATGGTGAACATCTGAATGGCACATTCAAAAAAAATCTCCTGTTTGTATGCACTAAAACTATTTGCTCATTGTGGAAAAGTTGCTGATGCTACTATCATAGTCTGTTACCCAAGATGTAGTCAGATTATATCAAAAGGACGAAGAGGTAACAGGGAATATTCTGAAATGCAGCAACAAGTATTATTTAAATATTACTAGTTGCATTACATAACAATCTAACTCATAATTTTAGATACCATAACATTCTCTGCGACTTTTTAACCTTTTAAATACTGGCAAAGATCTGTATAATCAGATTCTTCTTTTCACCAGCACCAGCATATGATTTCAATTAATGTAATTGGGCATGGCTATCCATCATATATCGGGTGATTTCAAGATCCATCCTTGCTGACTGGTTTATGATAATTAGCCTCTCAACTAGCCTGAGCTGAAGACACCTGAGAAACAAACGACATGCATTTCCATAGATGCCATCTGCCTTATGATACTGTATGGTTGTAGAGAGAGTAGGGTGTTTACAATTGTAAGATAAGTGACGATCACTTAGCCCAGTTTCAGTTAAGTGTGAAGATATATTTCAGCATCATTAAATCAAAGCCAGTCACAGTTATGAATGTGAAGGCTTTAAAGAAAACTACAGCCATCTAGTTTAACCCTATAATATATTTAAAATCCCATTACAGAAAACATATATTCACAGATACCTTAACCATAAAAATTGCAGCTATTTCCCGTACATAATGGGAGAGCATTTTATAGCAGAAATTAGTTGGTCTGTGAGACCAACACCTCATTAGAAACTGTATAACTATGGTAATGTGTGTGCTATGTAAACACACTTTTTCCTATTCAGGAGAAATTTAAAACACTTATCACGAACAATTCTTCACTCTTCAATCCGAATCAATCTGTTTGCAATACAGCAGAGCACCACAAAAGAAAACATTTCCCATCTTATTTCTGTGTTTATGAAACTACAAATGTGCAGGGAAATCATAATCCCTGTCAAGTTATCTTGCTGGGGAAACTCTTCTAAGCTGTTCACAGACAAGCAGCTCTTCTCATTTCCTCTTGCACTCTCCATATATGGCAAAGACTGCACTGTCCACGGTACTAGTGATTGTCAGAGAAGCGTATGCATTATACAAAACATAGAGATACTAACAAGAGAAGCTGGGAAGCCTGCACAAATCAGGATATAATAAAAGAATCAGAATTCCATAGTTCGGTCACTGGTATCTTGCCTTCTCTGTGTATCGCCCTAAAAACTACACACGAGTGCTGCATACATGCACAACCACTGCATGAAGTCACCTGATATGAGCAAAACAAAGCTAATCAGGAAAAATTTAAAGACAACCAAACATAATATCATCACACTGCAATGCATAATGGAGTCTTAAGGCACAAACACTATAGTTATGCCTGCATTTATCCACAAATGCATTAGATCACTACTCAGTTCTCAGCAGAGATTCCAACAGCATGTTTTGCAGCTCATACCAGGTTTGTGTTCAGTCAGAGCTCTGAGAACTGTTGTATCAAACAGCATATGGATTTTTAGAACTAAACTAACTCTTGACAAAATAAAAAATACAGAAGCAGAAATGTAAATTTCAGAGTCAAAGCATAGATAATACATGGTAATAAATGATCGTACCTTTCATCCAATCCACTACTTGCTTGGGCGTCCACTTGCTAATAGGTTCCATAACGAGAGCCATCATCAGATCACTTTATCATTCACACCAAAATCAGAAAAAGACTGGGGAAAATCTATCAGAGCATGGCCGGGATGAGAGAGCTGTAGGATTTTACAATGCAGTCCAAAGACGAGATGATGCTTTGTCCCTCCAGGTTTCTCCTGCACTGATTCAGTAATGTATAAAATTACACTGCTTGATCAGCTCTAGCACCTCCCCCACTGCACACAGCCTGCAACACAGTGGAGCACACTGAATCAGGAAATGGTGCAGTATGTATATACTTACTTACAAAAGCCTATACCCAATGATCTACTTATTAGACTGATATAAAATTATAGTGCTCTAAGAGCAATTGAGGCTCACGTTATTCCAGACTCACAGATTTATGGAGCTTGATTCCAATCAGCTCTGGGATCTTCATACGGGGGAAATATCACTACTGTAACTTGATAACAGATTGTCTTGGCTTTATTGTAAATATGCTGTCGTTCAAATTAAAGAGAAGATAGAAATATCATAATATCACTTGGCATCTGGCAAAATACTGAGCATCTCCATCTTTACCATACAAAATGTTACTGGAATCTTGTAGTATATAATCATGTAATTCAGAATGTCAAACACAGTAGAGGGAGTCTTACCAAGGTAAAACTCACTATCTAAAGAAACATCTTTTTTCTGGCCACGGTCAGGGCCAGTACCTTTCCCCCTCTGAGTCTCTCCTTTCTATAGTGAAGGAATGCCAGCCTACCATGTTGGGGTTCTTTTTTTTTTAACCATAATCCATTAATTCTAATAAAAACAGCCAAGAGGTAGCACTGGAACGATCAGTTAATTCATTTACCTTTTATTGGAGAGAGGAATAATGGTAAAGTTTTGGGACCTTTTAAAAATGATAAAGGTAAGAAGTCTCCATCATGGATTAACCTCACTCAGGTGTGCCAAATGGTGCTTCTCAGGCCCTTTGTATCTCGTATAGCAAATATCCCACATCCATGTGGTTGAATAGGTGCATGCTCTGTCTGATACTCTGAGATATACTGAGGTACTGCCACACTGGCTAGGAGGGGACTAGCTTAGGCTCCAGGAAGAGTCAAAGAAAGGGACACCTCACCTCTGAGTTCTTCTCTAAGCTCCAGCCCTCTTCTCAGAGATCTTTCATTTTTGATTCCCTTTGCCACATTCAATAGCCTGTGAGGGCACATTCATTAATTCCACACAGCTGGCCTAGTGCTGCCAGCGAGAAAATCCCTGTAGGTTAGGCAACTGCGGTCCTGTCTTTAGCTAGAAAGACAGAGGTAAGACCTTCCCTGCTGGGCTGTGGGGAGGATGTATGCCCTCCCTCATGGCCTGCCATCAGGCTAAGTAAAACAGGCCCATCAGGCAAAAGATTCTATCTCATCAGCATTTTCTTTATTTCTCTTTATAAAGAAAGAATCAAAATAGGAACAAATGCACAATGCTAGGACAGTTTTAGTCCCTTTAAATTATTTTCTCCTCACGTGGAACAAGGAACTTTGTTAGCATAAGGAAAATGGTATTCTCTCCAAAGATACTCCATCCCATTGAGTTAAAAACATAAAAAACAGCCATACTGGGCCAGTCCATCTAGCCCAGTAGCCTGTCTCTGACAGTGCCCAGTGCAAAATGCTTCTGGCAGATGGAGAACTGGAAACACCCAGGACATGAGGTTGCATCCCTGACCATCTTAACTAATAGCCATTGATGGACCTATCAGTCATGAATTTAGCTAATTCTTTTTTGAACCCAGTTATAGTTTTAGCCTTCACAACATCCTATGGCACTGAGTTCCACAGGTTGACTGTGAGTACTTCTTTTAGTTTGTGTTAAACTTGCTGCTTATTAATTTTATCATGTGACCCCCCTAGTTTTAGTGTTATGTGAAGGGGTGAATAAGACTTTCTTATTCACATTCTCCACACCGTGCATGATTATATAAACCTCTATCATAATCTCTCACTTAGTCACGTCTTCTCTAAGATGAACTGTCCCAGGCTTTTTAATCTCTTCTTATATGGAAAGCTGTTCCATCCCCCTAATCATTTTTGTTGCCCTTCTCTGCATCTTGTCCAATTCTATTATATCTTTTTTTTTTCTTTTTGAGATGGGGTGACCAGAACTGCATGCAGTATTCAAGGTGTGGGTGTACCTTGGATTTATATAATTGCATTATGATATTTTCTGTTTTATTATCTATCGCTTTCCTAATGGTTTCCAACATTATTAGCTTTATTGACTGCCCCTGCATGTTGAGGAGATGTTTTCAGTGAAATAGCAATGATGACTCACAGATCTTTCTTGAGTGGTAACAGCTAATTTAGACCCTATCATTTTGTATGTATAGTTGGGGTTATATTCTCCAATGTGCATTATTTTGCAGTTATCACCATTGAATTTTATCTGCCATTTTGTTGCCCAGTCACCCAATTTAATGAGATCCTTTTGTAACTCTTTGCAATTGGCTTTGGACTTAACTATTTAAGTAATTTTGTATCATCTGCAAATTTTTCCACTGTTCACCCTTTTCCAGATCATTTTTTAATATGTTTAACAACACAGGTCCCAGTACAGATCTTTGGGGTGCCCTGCTGTTTACCTCTCTCCATTAAGAAAACTGACCATTTATTCCTACCCTTTGTTTCCTATCTTTTGACCAGTTACTGATCCATGAGAGGACCTTCCCTATTATCCAGAGGTGGGCAAACTACGGGCCACGTCCGGCCCACGGGACCATCCTGCCCGGCCCCTGAGCTCCTGGCCCGGAAGGCTAGCCCCCGGCCCCTCCCCTGCTGTTCCCCCTCCCCCGCAGCCTCAGCTCGCTCGCTCGCTTGCTTCGCCGCCAGCGCAATGCTCTGGGCGGCGGGGCTGTGAGCTCCTGGGGCAGCACAGCTGCAGAGCCCGGCCTGACCCGGTGGCGGTGGTGTGGCCTGCCTCCAGCCAGGTGGTGCGGCTGTAGCGCTGCCAGCCACCGGTGCTCCAGGCAGCATGGTAAGGGGGCAGGGAGCGGGGGGGGGGGGGTTGGATAGAGGGCAGGGGAGTTCGGGGTGGTGGTCAGGGGGTTGGGGTGTGGATAGGGGTCGGGGGGGTTGTGAGCGGGAACAGGGGGTTGAATGGGGGCAGGAGTCCCAGGGGGGCAGTCAGGAAGGTGTGGGGGTTGGATGGGGTGTCAGGGGGCAGTCAGGGGCAGGGGTTCTGGGGGCAGTCAGGGGACAGGGAGAAGGGGTGGTTGGATGGGGCAAGGGTCCCGGGGGGGCCGTCAGGAATGAAAGGAGGGGTTGGATGGGGTGATGGGGGTCCAGGGGTGGGCAGGGAGCGGGGGTGTGTGGATGGGGCAGGGGTCCCAGGGGGGCCATCAGGGAACAGGGGAGGTTGGATGGTGCAGGAGTCCCAGGGGGGGCAGATAGGAAGTGGCTGGGCCAGGACCTCCTCCCCAACCAGCCCTCCATACAATTTACAAAACCCGATGCGGCCCTCAGGCCAAAAAGTTTGCCCGCCCCTGCTCTTATAACTGTCTGCTTTGCTTAAGAGCCTTTGATGAGAGACCTTGTTAAAGGCTTTCTGAAAGTCCAAGTACACTGGATTGACTGGATCACCCTTGTCCACATGCTTGTTGACTCCCTCAGAGAAATCTAATAGATAGGTGAGGCATGATTTCCTTATTAAAAAGCCATGTGACTCTTCCCCAAATTATAATGTTTAGCTAAGTGTCTGATAATTTTGTTCTTTACTATAGTTTCACCCAATTTGCTTAGTACTGAAGTCAGGCTTACCAGTCTATAAATCACCTCTGGTGCCTTTTTAAAAAATTAGCTACCCTCCTGTCATCTGATGCAGGGGCTAATTTAAGCAATAGCATACATACCACAGTTAATAGCTCTGCAATTCCATTTTTGAGTTCCTTCAGAACTCTTGGGTGAATACCATCTGGTCCTGGTGACTTATTACTGTTTAATTTATCATTTTGTTCCAAAACCTCCTGTACTGACACCTGAATCTGGGACAGTTCCTCAGATTTCTCACCTAAAAAGAATGGCTCCGGTGTGCAGATCTCCCCAACATCATTTGCAGTGAAGACCAATGCAAAGAATTCATTTAGCTTCTCCGCGATGACCCTTGTCTTGCTTGAGTGCTCCTTTAGCACCTTGATCGTCTAGTGGCCCCACTGTCTGTTTGGCAGACTTGCTGCATCTGATGTACTTAAAAAAAATTGCTGTTAGTTTTTGTGTCCTTAGCTAGTTCTTAAAATTCTCTCTTGGACTGCCTTACTATACTTTTACACTTGACTTGCCAGAATTTATGCTCCTTTCTATTATCCTTATTAGGATTTGACCTCCATTTTTTAAAGGATGCCTTTTTGCCTCTAACTGCCTCTTTTACTCTGCTGATTAGCTATGATGGCTTTTTTTTTTTCCGGTCTTCTTACTGTTTTTTTGATTTGGGGTACACATTTAGTTTGAGCCTTGGTGTTTTTAAATAGTCTCCAAGCAGTTTGCAGCCATTTAACCCTTGAGACTGTTCCTTTTAATTCCCATTTAGCTAGCTTCCTCGTTTTTGTATAGTTCCCCTTTTTGAAGTTCAATGCTACTACGGTGGGTTCCTCTGGCACTTTTTCCCTTACAAGGATGTTAAATTTAATTGCATTATGGTCGCTATAACTGAGCATTTTAGCTATAGTCACCCTCTAGACCCAGATCCTGTGCTCCACTTAGGACTAAATCAAGAATTACCTCTTCCCTTGTGAATTCAGGACAAGCTGCTCCAAGAAGCAGTCATTAATGGTGTCTAGAAATTTTATTTCTGCATCCCTTCCAGAGGTGACATACACTCAGTCAATATGAATTTAGTTGAAATCCCCCATTATTACTGCATTTTCTGCCTTTGCAGCCTCTCTAATCTCCCTGAGCATTTCATAGTCAGGGGGTCAGTAGTATATTCCTACTGCTATACTCTTATTCAAGCATGGGATTTCTCTCCATAGAGATTCTACAGTACATTTA